AGTAACCTCTCTTCCTCGAAGTTCACTCTATCCAAGTTTACTATCTGAATCAGATTCTGGTGGCTAGCTACCAAACCCCCAGAATGTTTTCCTCCTTTCTCAATGAGTTCACTACGTAGTTCATGTTTTCTCTCCACCTCAACTTCTTTTCTTTTTAATAGGGCACTTCAACAGATATTTCATATTCTCTCAAATACCCTAAGCTCCCACTTCCTCAATTTCCTAAAGCCCCAATCAACGCAATCACAGCCACACACAAGGACTGGTCAAGTTTCCATGATCAAGGACTCTAAAATGTCTTTATTTAAAATGTCATCCCATTTCTCCCTAAGTTTTACTGCACCTAAACCCTTCTTTTTTCCTCACCACAACTTGCATCTGCTTGATCCCCTAGTACTTTCCCAAGCATTTCCATATAATAACAAATATAAAAACCCCCACAAAACCCAAAACAAAACAAAATCCAAAAACCACACATAAGAAGCAGTAACAAAAAAGGGAAATGCCATTCCAAATAATTATAAAACATATACAAAATACCTGGGTATCAATCTTCCAAAGCACATAAAAGACTTTTATAGATTCAATTATGAAACACAGAGCAACTTAAATAGCTGGAAGAATATTCATTGCTCACGGCTAGGCTGTACCAATATAATAAAAATCACAATACTATGAAAATTAATTTATATTTTAATACTATACCGAATTACCAAGGGGACACTTTATAAAACTTGACAAAAATTACAAAATTCATATGGAAAACAAAAATCTGAATGATGAAAAGAAGTAGGGATGAAGGGGGAGTAGCACTTCTAAACCTCCAACCATATTATAAAGCAGCAGTCATCAAAACTATATAGTATTGGTTAAAGAATAGATAGATTAATGGACAGAGTAGACAAGGAGGACTCAGAAACAATAAAAATCGATAACCTAGTGTATAATAAATTAGAAAACGCAAATTACCTAGGAAAAGCTTTTCATTTGATAAAAACTGCAGCAAAACTTAGCAGTCTGGCAAAAATAAGGCTTAGACCAACATCTTACCCCATATACCACAATACATTTTAAATGGATATGTGACCTTAATATTAACAATTATACTATTTAAAAAATTAGAAGAGAAACAGATCATAAACTTTTAAGTTATGGGTAGCAGTATTCTTAACCAAACAAGAGACACAGGCAATTACAGAAGATAAAATAGGTCACTTTGAATACCTGAAACTGAAAAGCTTCTGCATAGACAAAATTAAGGCACCTAGGATAAGAAGGGAAATGGCAAAACAGGAAAAAAATCTTTGTGGAATAATAGGTACACTTGTGCATTTTTGGTGAAGTTGTGAAATGGTATGATTACTTTGGAAAGCAACTTCAAAGTATGCAAATAAAGTGAATAAAATGTCCATATCCTTGGAACCATAGACTCCCATTACTGGGCTCATACCCCAAGGAAGTCATGGATAAGAACAAAGTCTGCGTATACTCCAAAATATTTATAGCAGCACTTTTTATGACAGCTAAGAATAGAAAACAAAGTAGATGTTTATCAATTAGGAAATGGTCAAACAAATCGTGGTCCACGAATGTAATGGAATATCACTATAATGTAAGAAATGATGTGTGTGTGTGAAGAATACAAAGAAGCATGATATTTCTAAGTTGTGATTCTTTTGCTTTCTAAAAAAATACTATTTGTTATATAGGAACCAAAGGAGAAGACTGATCATCACTCTGGTAAGCAGTTGGAAGATGGCCCTAATGTCCCCAAATCTGGTGATGCTGCCATATTAACATGTTTCCATGTGAGTGGAGAGTTTCTCTAAATTATTCTCCTCTGGGTTTGTGACAGGAGGCAGACTGTTGCAGCCGGTATCATCCTGGCAGTTGACAAGAAGGCTACTTACTGGACAAATCCACCCAGAAGGCTAAAGGAATATTCTGTTGCCCCAGTCCTAATCAGTGACAGAATAAAGGTCTCAAAACTGTTTGTCTCAATTGGCCATTTAAGTTTAATAGTAAAAGACTGGTTAATTATTACAAAGCATCGTAAAAGCTTCCAGAGGAAAGGAATTTTTACTTTGTTTTGTTTTGGTGGGCTTTTCGGTTCATGGCAGTTTTAAGGGTTTAGTTTTTAAAATCAGCAATTTTTAAATGGAAATAACTTGACCAAAAATCTGTCACCTAATTATCAGACTTAAAAAAAACAGCTTAACATGGGAAAAGAAAAGAAAAAGAATGAATGCCTAAAACTTAAATTCTACGGTACCACTGTGTTAGTTACTCTCTGTCAGATGGCATATCATCCTGGCAAAGGCAGGCTAAGAAGCGCATGTCACAAACCCTGTTGACCTGGATTCTGAATTGGATGTAATTAATTACAAGTTTCATTTGATCCAGCTTTCAAGTCAAAAAAAAAAATATGATCCTAAATTCTGTGAATAGGTAAAAATTTGGATATTTGGATTTTACCGTTTCAAAGTCTACCCAACTCCAGCCCTAAGCACCTCCCATCATCACTGGGGGCAGCCTTTCCAAGAACACCAAGTGAGTCTCTTAGAAGGAAGGCAAGTTGCCCAGCAATGAAACAAAGAACAGTCCTTTAAAAAAAATTATTTGCTTAAAGCAGGAAACAGGAAAACTTGAGCAAGGTTTATAAACATTCCAACACTTTGAGGATGTTGTCATTTGTTGACTTTCTCAGGCTAAGATGAAAATCTTATTTTGGATAAAGCCTCCACCTGCCACCAAATCTGTATTTTGTGAAAAAAAAAAAATTTACAACCTTAGACCCCACAAAGTACAACACAAATAATTCACTCAATTTACCATATATATATATATATAAATATATCAAAAAGGGAAAAAAAAAGGTAGATTCCTACGGTTTAGGGCAGGAGACTTACCTACATTCATGAATCCAAATGGCCGAAGCACATTTTAATATATCTTCTTATTTTTCACAGCACCTAGAAAGTACAGCTCATGACAGATGGTCTGTGTGTGTATGTTGTGTGTGTGTGTGTGTGTGTGTGTGTGTGTGTGTGTG